CCCAGCCACGGAGGAACTCTACAAGTTTCAACAATTCGCCCTTCCGTGATCGATCGATCGGAGATGACAATTCACAAAAGACCATGTACCTCGAATGCTTCGATGCGTCTTCGTGTTTTTCAAATTGCTAAAAACAATGTCATTGTCATTGAAAAAGACATCTCCGTGCGACGATTCCTACGTGTATAATGGTAGGTGTCACATGAGGCAAAATCAAAATTGAAATTACCGTGAAAATTCATTACTGAGATATCGTGTTTATAATTTTATGAAAAATGTAACTATCGCAACTCGTTCGTAAGATATTGAGCAATCGCCTCCGCTTTCTTCACACGAAAATCGAACTCGTCGTGCCCGACATTACGGCGCTGCGCAGCCACAGCACTACGTACCAAATGACTGTGCTTTATATCTTTTAGGATTAAATTCTGACCATATTCCATGACTTCTATAGCTCCAAGTCAGCCAAGGGAGATATAGTAGAGCGTGCCTGCAGACATATTTCTGACACTCGATTTTTTTGATTCTCAATAAAATGCACACACCTGAGAGAGCGAATGGCGACAAACGCAGCCGCTGACAGTGTACTGCTGCCTCAGACTTTTCATATGAGGCCGGAGGTAACTATACTTAGAATTAGTTGGATCGCATTGAAAACGAATCGAATCAAGCCAACTCCACATACTCGTGGCAGAGATGGCAAGAACAAATGACCGATCGACGAGTAAGGCGATCGGTGTTGGTTTGTCGTGGCGGAAGCCATGGAAGCCGTACAGATCGTCGTACACGAGCACCTTCTGCTCCGTCAATTTCAAAGTTCTCGACCACTTTTGCGCGGATCGTATTTTTAACCTTTCCTATAACTCTTTCGTCTAACAGCTTTACAATATACTCCCTTAGTTGTCGCATACATTTCATATGGTCATTCGGCTCATGCATCCAACTCACCGTTAAACCGGCAACTGATGCTGACTCCAGCCGATAAAGCGAATGCCAATTTTAGGCCTTTGGAAGGTTGCTGGAGGTAAATATTTCACCGAATGGCAAGACCATGCATACAATACATAGAGCCCGAACAGGATGGGGCGTACATTGGGAAACTTGGGGATTTCGTCATGGCCACGTCTTCGGCACGAGAGCCGAGAGAGCCGAGGGAGCCGAGAGAGGGCGTGCGCCCCTTTATAGTGTGTGTGTGTGTGTGTGGGTTTGTAACGACGTGCGAAGGAAAGAGACAGAGTGAAGAAAAGTCTGTAGAGTAGTGGCTGCGAAGCATAATAGCGAAGGGAGTCGTAGCGTCGCTCACCTCTTTGCTGGAATAAAGCCGTTCCTGGACTGATGCGACTTAGAGAGCCGGCGACAACGTCGCCCGATGAGGAATGGTCGAGCGTCTGAAGTGCATTAGACGTTCTCCATGGGAAAGGCCATCCGACACCCACACCAACGCCGCCGACGCCGACGCCGACGCCGCCACCGGGTAGGACGGCTCCGCGTATTCCATCCGCGTCGGCAATATCGGACTGCCCGGTAACCGCATTGCTCAGGACCGAGGATGCAGTCAATCGGGATTGCTGCTGATGCTGATGCTGTTGATGCTGTTCATGAAATTGTTGTAACGTAGATGGGAAGAATACTCCTCCCACGCCGATTCCCACTGGATAGCGACCGGTAATCAAAGACGACATGAGACCTAACCTGCGGAGAACAACACCCTGTCAATTATCAGATCCTTGCTTGCAATTTTTCAAAGCAGATAGTCGGATTCGACGGTACGGAGCATGACGATCGAGCATACATGTAGTATGACGATATGCACGATCGACGCTTAGGAAGCGCAGCCTCCCCTCGCAATTTGAATATCCCATTCGATCAATGACGATTCGATGTGTTCGATGTATTCGATCGCCGAACGTCAAAATGGCAAATGTAGACAACTCGATGTCTCGATGTCTCCGGACGGAGGTACCGGTGGGCAGCTTGGACGGTTTATAGGAAGGTGCTGGATAGATTGAGGCTTCGGAAACCTTATAAGATCCCCCCCTATTCGCGAGCGACTCGCTCTAACCTGCGCGGCCAGACTGGCTACTTGCAACGGACTCGATCCGATATCTGGTTTCATCGCTGTTCATCGCTGGTTTGTACTTGCTTATTGTCGTAGAGCAAGCGGGAGGCTCTCGACGCCGCCTGAGAGACAAAGATTAAGCGCGTGAGACGCGCGATGCCCAAACTCGAGGACCAGCGAGAACCGCAACGTGTTCTAGTAATAACAATGATGACAATAATGTTGATAGTAACGTCATTATTGTCGAAGCGATGATACAGGCAAAACGGCGGGATATAGGTATTATACAGGAAAATCGGCATTGACACTTAATAAGCTGATGGGTGACGCTACGAATAACAATTTCTATTCGCCGCTTTCATCAGCTTCTCTCTGTCGGTCATGTTGATTCGTGAGTTCGTATCGGGAAGACGGAGACGAAGAAGAAATATGGAAGTGAGGTTGGAGTTGACATTTTTTTTTTTTGATACGACGATGCAAGTGACGATTGCACAAATCTAAGAACGCTACGTCCTTCTCATTTTCAACAGACATTTCCAATGTGGACTGTAAGAAATGCGATTCCAGAAGTAGCGGGCGATATCTCGTATATAACTAATTGTAAGATCGGATCGTTGACTTGACTGTTAAAGGAATGGCAAAGGTGACGTGTCGATCAACGAACGACAACCCATAATCATAATCGGCTAAAGCATACATGGTAGTGTGAAAAAGGAATAAAGACCGCTGACGGAAATGGTTGACGTTAATTTTGAGTTTATAGCTTACAAGAGATTCGAAGAGAAATTTCGATTAGCAAGGAGGCAGTAAGTAACTCGAGCTTACGGCTGCCGATGGCTTAATAATAAATTAGATAGAGAAGTTGGCTTCTTCCTTCCCCGAAGGATGCCAAGATGGAACGGGTCAGCCCGACTCTCAGGTTCAGCTAAAAGCAGTCCAAATGTTAGGAGAGCAACTCCTCGGGGGAATCTTAGGTTCCGTAAACTGGAGCACAGTTATGAATGCAACGATCCAATCCATTCGCCCATCTAACATCATCACCGTCATTCATTATGCACGTCACTCATAATTGATCTGGGGATGAGACACGCCTACCACGTGCTCCATAGGTACGAATCTCATAGTGCAAAAAACAGTAAAACTAATTCTCGTGAAACATGAAAAAAGGAAGCTAATTGTTCGATCGGAAGATTGAAAAAAAAAAAAAAGAAAGAAATGGGATTAAATTCAAGAGACACAAGTGAAAAATTGCAGCCACTACGAAGTAGGAAGGAAGGCAGCAGGAAGTGGCCAGCGAGAAGGTTTGGCATTGTCAAGGCACACATCGTGCGGTTGGTAAGTAACGGCAGTTCGAGAACGAATGAGGCTTAATCAAATGGTAAACGGGTGGAAAACAAGCACTTGGAAGCATCGGGGCGGCAGCAATAAGGGGTGCCAGTTAGGGAGTGCAAATCTGATAAAATCATCTCCAACCCTCGAGCAACCCTCACTCCCGAACTTGGGCTCTAGTAAATATATCCGATGGCACCATCCGTTGTAAGTAAAGTAAGTAACGTAAGAGGGTGGTCGTTGCTCCGGTTGTTATTAAATGAGACAGCCTAATAGGCCCATTACGGCGAGCCCCTCGGTCCATTCTCACATAATATAATCCTCCCGCTCCGAATCTCCTTTCTCTTTATCTCTCTCGTGTATTCATGCACTCGTTCGTTCGTTCGTCCGTTTGGTCTCTGTCACACACACACATTTGCACCATTACATTGGTGGCCACCAACGTCCATAGCAGTCTATCATTACCGTCGCGCGTTCTTCACTGTGCAACCTCAGCCTACCAGACTACCAGACTACCAGACTACCAGACTACCAGACTAACAGACTAACAGACTAACAGACTGTCGGGCTACTACGCGATCACCTACTGCGCGTACGTGATGACCTACCCACTATACTTTCTCGCATTGCGCACTGCACCAATTACGATACATTGCGATTATGGCCGGAGACACAGATAGTTGTAGAAAATACGATACTGCGATACTGCGAAAGCAAAGGTGTTTGAATTCGTACGTCGGTATATTCTAGGACGCAGGGTCCGACTCCAATTCCGGTGCCAATTCGATCCAAACGCACGCTCAGCGTAAATTGTTAGTAGTAAGAATTTGCGTACCTGGAGAGCATTGCGAGGTCAGCTGACGCCTGACCCATGAGAGGGTGCCCGGAATCGCTTGATTGGAACGACGAAGAGCCCGTGACCATTGGCGCACAGCCGATTCTTTGGGTGACGATCGAGCGTTGTTGCTCCGTGTGATTTCCGCCAAGCCGCTGACCTACCAGTCGAAGATTAGCCGGCGAAAGAAGTCGGCCTCCAGCAGGGCTAATTCGACCAGCCGGACTGTCTCGCGAGGCAAGAATTCGTTGGGACGTATTGGTAGTTCCAGGTACAGTGCCGGGGAGAAGGACTCCCGGCGTCGAGGAAGCCGGCACGGGGGGCGAAGACCGTTCGTCATGTTGCCGGTCGACTTCAACGGTGATGTCGGACTCGGCCGGCGGCGACTCCGGTCTTCCAAGAATGCTCGATATGCTGAAGGAGGTGTACTGTGGATTGCACGCCGGACGCAACGCGACTTTTCCAACTTCGAAAGAAAAAGAATTTCCAAGAGCGCAGCCACCTTTTCCATTCTTTTCTTGCAGCAACAGTTCAGCCGGTGTCGAGCAACTCCGCGAGCCGTCCAGTTCGAGATCCTCCTCGGACACCACCGACACCTCAATCTCGGTTTCACCCGACATTTCTTTCCCTTTTCTCCCACCCTTTTCCGCGCTCCTTTGCGAATTTCTTCACGCACTCCTTACTCTCGCCTTAACACGATCTTCCTAATCAACTAATAATTAAAATATTACATTACGAGAATCTTAATTCGGAGCCGACGATGTTCTCCAAGTTTTCGTCCGTTCTGGGATCGATGCGTTTGACACGTTCCGCTATAATCGTGCAAACGCACTTTACACGACGAGCATTTCAGTTTTCTTCAATGTCTGTCCGCACCAACATCCCCTGCAGCGTACCTACAACAGCCTTGATCAGACTTTCGGGACGTAAGTCTACCCGTCGTGTTTGACCTCTTCCGCACTATCCTTCACACTCTGACACACACTGAGTCGGTCCAGTTGCGGGGCTGTTGTGCGTTTTTGATTTCCTACGAATTCTTAGGCACTGATCGGTCTGAAGTTTCACCGGGTTACATGCTCGCTCCCACTGCTCCAATCACTTTCGACGCATCAGGCAAGCGTAAATGAGAATCCGTAATGTTAAGTTCAAAGCAGTATCCTTTGGCCAGTATGTCTATGAAAGTTTCTCGAACTCCTCGAAACGACATCGGCAGCCCGCCGTTGTGCTCCACTTATTCCCGTGTTGTTGGCTCGAAAGAAACGTTTTCAGATACACGGCCGAACGTTCGTTGAAGATTCAACGATAATGGAAAAGACCTAGGTGACGATCAAGATGAGGGTCGAGGACTTGGATAAGAAGGATAAAGAGTAAAATGAAGACAAGAATGAGGACAAGAATTTTCAGAAGGCGAAAACGGAGGTGAAAGACAAGGAGAAGAGGAAGGAAAGTGGAAAGTGAAAAGGATGGAACGGGAGAAGGAGAAAACGGAGGAAGATGAAGATGAGGAAGAAGGAGAAGGAGGAGGAGATGGAAGAGGAAGAGGAAGAGGAGGTGGTGGTGGTGGTGGAGGAGGAGGAGGAGGAGGAGGTTCACTCCGGAGATCGGCTCACGTGACTCCACACGTGTAACAAAGATGAGCCAGTGGTAGAAGCGCCTCATGATTTTTCAATATTTTAAAAAGTTCAACGCAGCATCCAGATCCGTTGGACCGTAACGTTCATCTGGCAAATATGAAGCAATCAGCGCTTAAAATCTCATTAAGGCCGTATCTGGAGCACGCATCGAGAGAGTGTTCGAGGGCTCCATTCGGAAGCTGGGGCTATTTCGCGTAGCAGCTAAGAGGAGGGATGCTGCTGCAGGTGGGTCGGCAATCAGTGCGCCTTTACGAACCTCGAAGGACATCTGGGATCTAGGAAGAGGAGGAGGAGGAGGAGGAGGAGGAGGAGGAGGAGGAGAAGGAGAAAGAGGAGAAGATGTTGGAGGTGGTGGTCGATTCGCGAGACACTGGTCGACGAAGGCTACTCGAGAGCAGCGGGCTACTCGAGCGAGTGACGAACTGTGGATGGGAACTGTGCTTGTTGTACTAACGTAAGGGTAGGAAACGCGGCACCGGAGAAACCGCAGGGCACACGGATAGTGGCACGTCTCTCGCTCACACACAGTCAGTCACACTCATAGTCACGAGGGTAGCTAAGCTCAAAGTTGAAGAGAGGATGGGGGCGGAGTTTGGCTTTCAGGGGATGGCTCTCTCGATTTCTCATAGGATGGAGGCGCGATCGATGGCATGTGCCACGTCGGAGCGTTAGGGGTAGCTTTCAGAACGAACCAATCACAATCCCGCAACCTTAACTCGAAAGATATACACTATAGAGGATCTGCCCAGTCCCGTCTCGACCCGGTCGTCCCGTAACGCACCGCACCGCACCACACCAGACCGTGTTACTTATCCATTATAACACTCCAAGATCTTGATTTAAGCCTGCAGCAGCGGTGAGCTTTTAACCAATTAGCCTTTATAGCCACCCCACTACACAGCTACCTAATCTAGTAGGTCTTATCCTGAACAGAGATGAAGGCCCATTCGTTCCTCTGCATCTACATCTACGTCAATCCGCTTCCACCTCGAACCATTTATGTACTTTTGCCTTTGACAGCACCTGCGTAATTCGACTCCAATTGCAAATCTTATGAGAATTATCCAAAGGACCTGCGTAAGTGCAGCAAGGACAATTATCTTATTAGTCAATGGGAATACATTTGTTCGGCCCCTCGTGAACATTACTGATACATGGATAATACTCACGCGGAAAGAAACACGAGAATCCTGATAGCGTGGAATAGAAAAGACGCCGTCGGAATGAAAATAGAGGAGCAGTCATCAGCTTCGATCGACGTCAATAATCCGTCCGTCGGTCTGTTCGCCTGTCCGGTCGGTCAGGTTTAACCAGGTTCTATCTTTGAAGCTCGTGTGTGATTACGGAAATTTGTTGAGATTTGGGTCAATTCGTTGGTGTTTGGAAGATTTCAGGAAAGATGCAGAATGGGTCGCCCGGGCCGACCAGTCTCTCCTCCATGCGCTGAGAGAGAGAGGGAGAGGGAGAGAGAGAGAGAGGGATAACGAGCCGTCTGCGTATTTTACTTTGTGTTCGGTGCCTAAGAGGATTATCTACTCTTGAGAGAAGTAAGTGGTGGGTATGCTTCACTTTTCACGGGGGTTGCATTGTTCCCTATTATCCGATGTGATTAGTCGATGATGCAGGTAAGCTACCGCGGGGGGTCTCCATTATGCCGCAACGAAGATTCACTCGGCCGCGAACATTTGACGCACAAATGGATCCGCCGTTCTCGTTCTCTTCACGTTCCGCCATATTGAGATATACGCGCGTATTCGCACTCACTTATACTAACAACACAGCAGTGCCTTTCTCCGAGAAGGCGCTTCAATGCGCCCGCAAGTTATTATATTTGGCAAAGGCGGAACGGAGAAAGAAAAGATACGGTTACGAAACGCGAGGACATATCGAGCAGCAAAAGCAACCGACATGTTTTAGACACGAAAAGCGAGCATTGAACCGCATCCTCATCCTTCCTTCGCTGCTTCTCTTGACGCGTACTCAGAGAGAGAGAGAGAGAGAGAGAGAGAGAGAGAGTAACCGTACTAATCGGTAGTATCCCAAAGCAGACCCGTCGGAAAGTGTGGCTGCAGCGGTAAGTAGCTCGCTGCAATAAGGAACGGCGTTCGAGCTGTGCCATAGCATCGTAAGGCTCCCATGTCCTGCAGCCCGTGTTCAGAAGCAACGACGTTCCTTCGACGCTCGGGGGACTCTAGACTGCCCTATCTTCTACGAGGAGGTGGCCCCCTCAAACTAGTATAATCGAACCGTCACCCCGCCTGACTTAATTCCGCCGCGCAAATAAACAAGATCAGTGCTCGCACGTCGATGCTCCTAAAAAGATTGCGCCGCGGCGAAAAACTAACGGGGGAGACCGAAGGGCTGAAAGTGCGACGTCGCGTCCGCCGCTGATCCGTGCGCACCGCGCCGGTGATAAGTGTTCAGATGAACTGCAAAATGAGGGCCAACGGTTGCGCGTATGACATCCGGCTAATCAGAGACTGTAAGAGGACGGGAGACTAATAGAGAGTGAAAAGGCATCAAATAAACAAACAGCGGGTGGCGAGGAGCGAGCCAGCCGAGAGAAAGAGGGGCCGGGGGCGAGATAGGGCTATTAGGGTTGGGTGTAGGCGCCGCCCCGGCTATTAGAGGGTTGTTTCACCCCACCCTGCGTAACAGTGCGCGAATGTCGGGCTTTGCGTGTATTCTCATAGAACGGCGCCCGTGTAGCGAATGTGAACCTGTGTCTGGTTCGTTGCCATGGCAACGGCAGTGCTCGCGGGAGATGCCTTTAATAGGTATCTTTGGCCGAGATGGGGATGAGTTTGCGCGATGTCTTTTCCCTGTGTGCGTAGGTGGCCAAAGAGGGCTCCTCTCCTCTCTTTACGCTCGTGTGCACCTAACCGTGCGAGGGTGTGTCAGCCGTGCCAGCGGCAGCAGCGACTCTCTCTCTCTCTCTCTCTCTCTCTCTCTCTCTCTCTCTCTCTCTCTCTCGACCACCTACTCTGCTACACGGCGTTCTAACGGTAATAAAAGGTGCTGCCGACAATGATGTGGTCTCCTCGTTAAAGTATTGTTCTTATCGTTGTTATTATTGACGATTCGATGAGTTTACGAGTGCCGCGTGCGCGAACGGTCGAGTAAACGATGCTGCGTGTCCCCTGGTCGCCGACTATCAGCGACTGTCACCAAGAAGACGGCCAAGTACAGCACCACGCAGAGCACGGTGCACGCACACGAGATACTGGAGCAAACTGTACAACTGCGAGAAGGAACGAACGAGTCACTCAATGAAGTTAACGCGCATGTACAATGTGTACTTGCGACTATACATTAGTATACATTTCAGCGTCGGAGCGAGTGAAGAGAAAAATCCGAGAAAGCCGCGACAGCTCGTCTAAATGCTAATGGCCTTATTGGCTGCGACTGGAAGTCCGAGATTTCGATTCGAGTTCCCGTGAGCATCGACTGCGCGTCACTCTCACAGTCCAATCAACCTGAGCCTGTGTTCCTCCAATTGTCGCTTGATGCTCGGCAGTTCTTGCACGAGATTTTCTTATTAGGTAACAGGCTAGTTGGCTGTTCAGGGTAGAGGTATAAGGGACACGGCCATACGTGTCTTGCGTGTTACGTGTGCGCCAGGCGGTCTCTGCGCGTATACGCACGTGTAGGAACGTCAAGCGACGACACGGAAACGGCAGAGTGCTGCACTTGTGTCGCAGCAACAATAGCGATAACTGTTTTCGTAAAAGTGCCAGAGTCAGGGCCCATGAGAGTGCCCATGAGAAGCGAGGAGGACAAATAATTGAACAGCCGAGCGAAGCTACTCGATAATTATGATGCGCGAGAGACGCGCCGATTAACGAAATACAAAGAGAATATGAGCTCGCGTTTCTAACGGGGTAGCTGGCATCCGTGAGGGTCGCGTGGCCAGGAGAGCCCTTCTAATTATCGATAATAGTGCGACGCAGGATAGGGCCAGCGAACGTGGCTACCGGGCGGATGGGGGATGGCGGTGCTGCTGGATTCGTAGAGTAATAGGGCCTGTAGTGTAGAGACTGTAGAGAGAAGAAAGCTCTTCACTTTTTCTAAACAACAAAGCATTCTTCCCGGCACCCTACCGTGTCCGCTACCCCGATAATCATTTACTTTCGCTGGAGGCCACTACTCGTCACAATGGCCAAGTTATCCATCCACTCGGCTACTTGCCCGCTCACCGAACGCCCGAGGCGCTTATTTCCTCCTCTCACTACTCCTCGCCCCCGTCGCCCTTCATCCTTCATCCTTCATCCTTCATCCTTCATCCTTCATCCTTCACTCTTTACTCCCGCAACGCCAATCTTCAATCTATTCCGATGGCACGTGGGACTGGTCGTGCGCCTCATTCTCGGCTGAAAGCCTATTACTCTATATTTGTTTGAAGCGGTAACAGTGCACAGACATCGTCGCGTAATCGTTGCGTCGGACAAATATTCGGCTAACCGAGAGTTTCAGTCCCGCCTTAATCGGGCCGCCACTTGGTTAATCCGGTGATCTTAGGTGGAGTGGGTGCGCCTCCCTCGCCCCCTGGGACTCCATTAAAAGGGCCAAAGAATCCCAATAGGGACATTATCGAACGTACGCGAATGGTTATAACTGGATGGCTGGATGGCTGGATGGCTGGATGGCTGAATGGATGAATGTATGCTGCGTGACACCAGCGCATGGTCTTGCCTCAGTGAACACACATGTCGCGCGGCGATGAACATACTCGCGCCCAAATGCTACCACTCTTTGCAGAAGCAAGCCTAGGCCGAGCGAGAAAAACATTCAGCCAAACTTTTACGTTCTATCGCTCTCTATACACGCAGAGAATTTTTCATTAACTTTTCGTGCGAAATTCACAGGTACAGTTAACATAGAATAGAAGCACCGTAGGACATCTCGGCGTT